TTTATCTCAGGGAATAATAGATTCAATAAAAAATATTCACAATTAGACCATGTAGGATTTTTTTCAATGAAAAGACTTCTACATTTGACACATGAACTGCTAAATACTATTATTCTTCACAAAATACTGGATTGCACATAATTTTGATAAATTCTAGATTTTAAAACCAATCTTACTTTACAAGAAAATTAAAATATGAAGTGCCAGTTGCAGACATGTATAAGGAAATGACAGTTTGATAAATAATTTATAAAATACATATGTAGATATATTACTATGGGTTGATTAGGGATGAAACAATTTGCATCTGAAACCAGAAAAAGCTACATAACCTTGTAAGAGTAGTTTGAGGGAAAAATTCCCATTATGGTCCCCAAGTCTGAGTGTCCCTGTAAAGCCTTCATTTTTTATGATGAAAATTGAGCCAGTTGAGTATCAGCCAAGTATCTTTTAGGGAAAATAAATTGTTTATTCTGAAAGGACTTAAGAGAACAAATTATTAAAGAAAAGGGAAGAAATGGAAGAATTTTTAAAAATTAAGGAAATTACCCAGGAAGGAAAAAAAAGCATTTTTCAAAAGAAATGCCCAGACTTTCTGGAATACACAGATGTGATATAGAAGCTGTTTACCTAACTTGCATTTTAAGGTTTATATGCTCAAAAGTGTGGTTGGTTCTAGCTTTATTGACCAAGTCTTTCTGGGTAGCTTCATTCTAAGGTGAGCCCATTTGTAGCCAAGCTTTAAAAGACTCATGTCACTCAATTTGATCTGAGGTATACTGCAGTCACTAAGCCACTGTTTAAATAACATTTCGTTTTATCTAGAATTTTACTTTTACAAATACAATTCTAAACACATTATTTCAATTTTCATTTGAATAAATTAACAAAAATTTTAGGATCAATTAGTTAATAATCCTGCATTTTTTCCTATTGTATTAAGTTCACCTGAATGAGATCTGAATTCCTCACTTACTGTCCTGTAACCAAAATCAGGTTTATAAATACACAACAACTACAAGCTCAACATATGCATGAATTCCAGTGCATAGATCAATATATCAAGATCACTTTTTTATAGTGGTTAAATTACAGCTATGTTATCTAAGCTAGCCACCAAAAGCTGTCCCTAAGCAGACAGAAGACCTGCAGAGGAAAGAGGAGTAAGTCATTCTGGCTTTCACTAGTGGGGGAATACCAACTTCCTCTCTGACTATTGAAAAATCCTCCCAGAATCTCGTGTGGTTTCATTCACTTCTTCAACAGAAACAGAGGAGACCAAGGAATAAGACTCAGTTGGAAAAAAACAAAAGCAAAACATACACTCCCACCCCCCACTCAAAGCCTCACAAAATCCATTATGATATTAACAGCTAAACTCATTTTTCTTTGTGGCAATGGTAGATATTGCAGCCTGCCCAACTAGGTCAAATACAGCAAAGATTATTTGCTCAGACAACATTTCAGCTGTTTTCATCCCTCCTGGTGCAGGAGATGAGAACAAACCTTTACTCACAACCCTCTTGTACCAGACACATTTGAAACACTCCCTGTGTTAGCTTTGGGCTGTGCTTAACTAGGGTACAGAACCATTTCCAGAATACGTGCACACACTGCATGTGCATGTTTCTGGGCTCTGGTAGTTTCTCTCCATGAAATGGTTTTTGCTTGTCCTTCATCCACTTGCTCTCTCAAAGATTTTCAATGTCTTTTTCTTCTTCTCTGCCTTTTTCTGGCTTCTCCAATATCTCCTGAGATATTTTTTTGTCTGATTTCTTCTTTGCTTATGCACTACCAATCTCAAGGGATTTTACTAGCAGTGACTAATATAAGCTTGAAACTTTAGCAAATACCACCTACTGCTGAATAACAAAAAGCAAAGGTGTATACAACAGCAAAAATTCTCTGGCAAAGTTGTAAGCAAATACACAGTCTATGAAGTTCAATTACTTTCCACTGGAAAAAAAACTGGAAAGGCTTAAAAATCCTGGGCAACATGAAATCTGCATCATACACATAATAGGACTGCATTTGATTGTCTAAAGGAACAGTTAAAATACAGACTTTCAGAAATATCCATGCAACACATCAACAGGCAAACTGCATTAGTGTCTTGTCTCTGAAAGAAATTTATCTCAGTTTTTGATTTTTGTCTTTCTAAATGTTGTATAACTTAGTAAGAAGCAGCCAAGGGGCAAATCTGCTCCTCCTTCCAAGTAGACATTGAGCTTATATTTCCACATGAAAAAAAATCAATAGCTGTTTTTAAAAGTTATTTGTGAATGCACCCTGTACAAGATGTTCAAGGCCATCCTACTTTTCCTCACCCTCACACCAACCATCTGCTCTCTAGTGCTTCCAAATATTGAAAATGCTCCTTTGGTAACTATAATTTCTAACTTCAGTTATGTCTTTTCTTTCCTGGTATTCCTGGCTAGGGAAGTGTAAAAATTCTTAGGAACAGGACTTCTATTAGACAGGAGTTAAGTGTCCCTCAATCTTTGCTAGACAGGGAGGAAAAGTTGCAAAACCACAAAACCCTAACCCAAACCCAGAAACAGAGACTTGTGGTGTTGAAGGATGGAGTAACAGAGGGTCACAGAGCAGTAGGATCTCCAGACTCTGACAGCTCAGTTCATGCAGCATCTTATCTCATGTGTGAAACTTCATCACAATGACAGAATCAGCAAAGCAACGTTATTTTCCACACAGTGATAATTTAATGATGCTCTTATTCTTTGACTATATCTTTACCAACAATAGTGGCAAAAGAAGCAGTTTGTTATTCAAGGAGAGTGAATATGATGTAGCCTAAATCTTTATTTTGTTTTCTTTTCAATGGACATGACAGGAAGAGCAAAATGTCCATTTAGATGCACAAATACGTATAAAGATACACTTCTCTCTCTAGAGGCAACAATGATGCAAAGTATTATTCTGGTCTCCAAAATACTGTGAGTCACAAAAATGTCTGCTTGTACCATCTAGCTCTTTCATTCATGGTTCAAGAAATGCAGGTAAATAATCACTGCTTCAGAGTCCCTAGATTTTCCTGAAATGTGCTCTTGAATTATTTGAGGAAAAAGCTAAACAATAATAAATGAACCCAGATGTTTATCCCCTCTCTGTAAAGAGCTTTTCAGCATTTTAAAATCAGAAACTGACATTAATGAAAAAGATGTATTTCAGACAAGACTGTGTATTTGGTCTTAAAACCAAAGAGTTTACTGCTCTCTAGAGTAATTTTTCTTTTATTAGTATTTCTTCCCTCTTTAATTGAATTAAACAACAACAAAAAAAAAGCAACCAAAATTATGAAGACCACCAGCACAGTGAAAAAAAGAAAATGTCTCCCAGGGTTTTCAGTTCTATTCCCTCAGTGTTCTGGAGTCCAGATGTGGAAAGCCTAGTAGAGCTGAAAACATTTTTGAAGGCTGGAAAGAAAGTTTTGATGCTACTGCTGTAGCCTTATTTTATCCAAACCAGACAACTATCTTTCTTCATGAAGATTAAAAAGCCAAACAACAACGCCCACCAAACTACCTTTTATATATTGTTACTAAATGGCATTTATAAGTGAGCCTGCTGAAAAAAAAAAAAGAAAAAACCTCTCCCATCTTCTTAGCACTTGGAAGCAAAGAAGGTCTTCACAAGGCCTTCTTAACCAGAGTAGAATATTTACTGTCTTCATCTTCTTTAAAATCCCATTTGTCAGGTGTGTCAGTTTATTTTTAAGAGATGTATTTTTCCTGCTCACATATCAAGCAAACACATATTGATTTGCTGCAGCCATACCAGGTCACAGGATATGGAGGAATGTTCCCATATCTTACCCAGCTACACCTGGAATATGGTGTTCAGCTAAGTGATGACAAGGGTGGTCAGTGAGGTGATGATAAAAGTCTATAAATAGCTTAAGAGGTTGAACTCTGAGGAGGGAGAAGCATTGGTTTAAGGTGGACTGAACAAGCCTGACTGGAAGAAACAAAAAGATGCCCTGACAGCCAGGGCCAGGCATAAGCTGCTAAATAGGATCTCACACACGCTGCAATTGCCAGCAGAGCAGTCTGGGCTTGGCCTTGCGTACACCACAAACATACAATGAATTTCCTATTCCAGATTAATTATTCTGGGAAATTTCCAAGCATATTTAAGCACTTCAACTGCTAAATTGGGCCCCAAGTTCAACAGTCCACCAACAGGAGTCACACACTGGGTGTGTTTAGAGCTACACTCGACATAGCACTGGAAAAATGAGGGAGGAAATAAATCTGCCCAGAGAGGAAGATGGACACAAACCTTGTAAATCTGTCATACCTCTGTTTTCTGTAGTTCTAGGAAAACATGCATATGGGATTTGGGAAAGGTCTTTTTAATAAGGGTTAATTGGAGAACTATGTCACACATGACTGAGTACCGTTTCGAATTACGGCTCATGCTGGCATAACTAAATTAGACAAATGACAGAATACCAAAATAGGGGATAGTCAGACTTCTTCCCTCCTACTTAATCTTTATATCTTCATTAGTCTCAAATATCAGCAATTACAGTTTTTCTGGAATTTGTTGCTTCTTTCAAAATATTACTATTACCATATCATAACACTCCCCAGAGGTCCAATAGTTCTGTAAAATCTTTCTTCTGTTGTCAAATTATCAGTCTAGGCTTTCAAACTGCTGGATTCATTTATCTGGCTTACATGATGCAAAAGTTCAGGATAAATAATATTGATATAGCCCTTTCTGAGCTTAAAAAAAATCTGAAAAGGGGAAAAATAACCAGTTAGTAAACCAGATTAGTTATTCCCATGAAAATCAGTGTACTGTCTGTAACTCTGTGTTACTCTAAAGCCAGGTCCCTAACCCCGAACCCAAAAAAGTCACTTCAGTTTCTCTGTGCCGCCCAAGTTAACTGCAAGCATTTCCTGACGCTGAGAATGCAGGCAGAAAAAGGAAAAACGTCGACTTGAGAAAAGCACAGCTTCCAATCCCCACCCACCAGCTTCAGTCAAAGGGATGACTTCAGTCCCTTTCTTAACTAATCCTGTCACTGTAAAATCCTACAGTCATTCTTCCAGCATAAAGGGAAAACGGACTCACTAGGAGGACCTAGACTCTCTCAGCTCGAACTGTTAACCAATGGTGGAAATGCAAGAATGCTGAAGTTGTGCCTTCAGAGCCAATAGAGTGGATTTGTGTGTCCCACATGACTGTGTTTCCCCTGTCTTTCACATGGGCAGTATTTAGTTCAATTCAGAACTGCAGATAGTATAGCGTGCAGAGCAGCAATGGGATGTCTGAGCACAAGTAGCTGACTTCCAGGCGACTTCAGGAAGCTCATTTGTACATTTCTCCTGAATTATCTGGGATTCTGCACCCTTGACATTCTCCAACCCTCCTTGTCGCTGCAGAAGGAGACAGCGACCTGCACAGCACAACAAAACTGTGAGTACAGGCTCTATTTATTTTTATTTTCACCCAGAAAAGCAAATCTCTTAAAAATGTAAAAATGCTACGTGCCCTAAATCAGGGATTACTTTTCTTATAAGATGAACAAGTATGTAAAGTGTTATTCAAATTCAGAAATATTTCTTGCATGCTTCAATAAAAGAAAGAGGAAAAAAAAAAAGCAAAAGCGAGTTATCCTCCAGGGCAGTGCCTGCATGCACGCTGCATGACACACTGCTTCCTGACATAGCCAGCGTGCTGCTTTGTTCATAAATAAAAACAAAGACAAAAAGCCCTACACACGTATGTTGTTCACTTTTATTTGTACTCTGTGTCTAACCAGGCCTGATCTGTCCCCAAGGGGAAAACATAAAGGCAAACTTTAACTCCGCCAGCAAGGGCAGCCCAGACTTTGCAGACATCTGACAGTTATTATAATTAGCTATGAAAGACAGCGAAGACACTTTGGGGCAAATAGCTCTTACATTTGGAACAATGAAGTCGAGCAAGGTTCCCATCCCACCCCTTCCACGGGGGGAGGGGGAGAGGCAAGGCAACGGGGGGAGTGTTAGGAAAGGGCTATGGCTGGACTGAAAACACACAACTAGCGTGCAATATCTGGACTCACTCAGCCTGAGGAGAGGCTTTTTGATAAGCAACTTTACCTCTAGATTGCAGTTTGCATTCACTCAGATTCCTGATGGGGTGGGAAAGGGTGTGGGTCTCTTTCGGTATAACGTCAGAAGGTCGGGGTGGAGTGGGAGCGGGGACGAAGGGGGCAGAAAGAAGAGAATATCCATAGCAGGAGACATTGAAATTGTTTCCCAAAGCTTTACTGGCCAGATCTCCTTAAGCCCAAGTTGCTTTCTGGGCAAGATTTATGAGAGTTCTCAAACAGAAGCAACAGACAAAGCAGCGCTTTTTTTCTTCTTCTTCCTCGGAAAAGAAATTCAGCCCAAATGAATAACCGTATAATAAACAGCACTGATTTGTATTTTTGCTCTTTTTCTTGCCCCCACATGCTTGTAAGACCTTTAAAAAGGTCTTTCCCCCCTGCCTGCACGATCCTTCCCACCCCCCCTTCCCTACTAAAAGTTAGATTCTGAAAACTACGATCAGAAGGGAAAAAGCAAAGACAATAGAAATCTGACTCGGTCCTGGCTGGGCTGGATCTCTAATAATGCATGAAGTGAAAACAGTTTCTAAGTGAAAGATGAGCAGACTTCTTTTTTTAAAAAAATAAAAAATTAAGTGCAATAAGGAGAAATTGTTGAAAGACTCCAGACGCTACTAATTATGGCTTAAATAAATCTTCCTGGACAGATGTTTGCTTGCTCCCACTGCAGGGAAAGGAACGTTAAAAGAAGCATTTTTTAAAAAAGGATTTGACGTGAATCTCCCACATATGAATTTTTTTCTTTTTTTTTTTTGGTAAATACACTGTTATATTCTTTGTCTGCCCTCCTGTTATCTCCCCCTCCCCCACCCGCCGCCCACTGTGAGCTGAGACACCTGAAGGCTAGACACAATGATCAACAGAGCACTGCGCTCGCCTGTCTGGATTCCAGCCAGATTTTTTTTTTTTTCCCTTCCACAATCAAGGAGCCTGCACGCAATGCACGGCAAGCCCCTTGCTCTGCTATGTGCAGATCAGACAGAAGTCTGAACCGTGCTGCAGAAAAGATTAAAGACAAACACAAGCCTTCCCTCCTTATGTCAGCCAGGCTCAGTTTCAACTTTGTTGTGATTTGCAAAAAAATAAAAACCAAAATAAGAAACTTTGTAAACATATATACACATTATTGTACAAAACATATGCACAGGCACACACACTTTCCAACACAGTGTAACTAGGGACATCCAGTGTTTCCCATTTTACTGTGATTTTTCCTCTGGGTTTACAGTCAATGCAGTATTTTACGTTAAGTTCATGCATCACTTACATAATTGCTGTGTAGCTCAAATATATGTAATGATTTTGTATGTGCATACGATATATTACATAAAGGCAAGTAGCTACTGTACAGATACCCGCTCCTGAATGCCCATCAAGCAGAAATCTTACAAAATACTTGTGTTTAAAGAGATTAGCAGGAGCTCTGAGACAGTTTTATGATAGTTTTAAATGAGGCAGTAGCAAAATGCTTTGTGAATAGGTTGTCTTCAAAGCGAAGAAGGGGAGCGTGGCAGGGGACTGAGCTGGCCCTGCAAGCCCTGGCCTTGCTGCTGCCACAGCCCAGGGAAACGCCGAGTGGCCCAGTGCCATCGTGCCACAAAGTTGGGCTTGGGAATGCAGCACTCCCCAAAATAGTTACTCTCCATTTGGTGTGGCTATGGGTGGGGTTAGCAGAGACATACAGGGGAAAGGCAGATTCAAAGCCTGTATTCTATTTAATTTTTAAACGTATGCTGTGCAGATCGACCTATTTTCTAAATTCTTTGGAATTTCATTGTCTTGTGATACTAATTATGGTGTGATAAACATGATGAATAATATTTGCTTTTAAACGTGAACTTTGTATGAAAAAGACCTAAAAGAAAATACATTTTAAAGCACACAACCACATGCACACATGTTCAGTGTTGTTAATTTACTCCCTGAAAATGCTTAAACTATATTTTAATCACTCTAACAGGTATCCTAACGGAAATATAAGAAATTTTTTAGCTTTTTTTCTCTAATATTGCTTAGAAACACTATGAGAAAAGGAACCCAGCAGAAGTATCCCATAAATTTAATCTTAAAAAAACTTCCTTTCCAAATAGCAGCAGAGACATGCAAACAAAAGATTGCATGTAGTGGCAGCAATATCCACTGCAAAGTAAAAATTCCTGAATAGAGATGTCAGGAAAATTAAGTTAATTAATCAAGGGCTGTGGTCAAATTTTTATTCCTGCATTTTAGTTTTTTGTAAATAAGGGATTTAATGCTTTTCTAAAGGAACAGTTTACACTGCTTATATGAAATATACAAGCTAACTCTACACAATGGTCATGAGGAGTATGCATTTGTGAATTATATGTAGACATGTTCAGCAATATTAAGGTGATAATTTCCTTTCTACTTTTTTTGGCATGTTATGTTTTAAAACAAAATTTGTCACTTGTTTCAAAAAATGTGTTTTGAAATAATGCCTACAGCTAAATTATGAAGTGCTTACTTTCATTTTCTTAAGGTTATGACAAGGCAATCATATTTTTATCCTTTCCTAAAGGCTGAAATCCTATGCAAATCAATTTCTCTAAACTTCAGAAGTGATTTACACACTATCTTGTCTTAGAAGGGTGTTTCAACTGGCAATTTATGCAATGTTTGTCAGTGTAGAAGTAATGTCTAATCACATAAGAGATAAGCATTAAGCTGGAGAATATGAATACAGGGTCTTTGCCTCCATGTTTAGTTCAACACTGTCCCCTTCTCCCAGTAAGGTCTCTTGGGTTTTGAGAGTGCTGGGTACAAAAGCTCTGCCTAGAGTAGGGAGGAGATACCTGACCAGTGTTGCTTTAAAAATGGCATTATCCTCTCCTGCTGTTATCCACATACCTGCAATTTGGAGCTGTGTGTTTGTTATTCACATACTTGAAATTTGGAGCTGTGCGTTTCAGTTTTTTTGCAAAAAGAATTTATTTACCTTGCGTGAAAATTGCTGAGCTCTGTTTTTTACTGACTTTAAACTTTTTAATAGTTGATGCTGAAATAATGAAATCATGGAAGCCCCTGCATATTTATGACTCCATTCCTTAAAAATTTGATATGTATTACAGCTTGTCTATTAGCCTGTGGCCTACATTTGGTTGTGCAAATTCCACGGTGCTACTCACACAAACTTCAAGTTCTTTCCTTTTTTTCAAGTGATTTCCTTTTTTAAACTCTCCTCTCCCCTCTTCCCCCCATGCTTCCTGTTGCATTGGCTTGTTTGAGCCTTTCCTAGTTCTAGCAGAGGTGTGACTTTTAGTCCTAGGAATAAAGCACTGAGAATTGCATCCAAAACTTTCAAAAGATTGGTGTTTCACTTATACCTCTACAGAGCTGAAGTAACTTGAGAACCTACCAGAAACATAGACAGTTTCAATAAGGTAACAGGGTCAAAGGAGCTCATGCATTACAGATAGGAAGAGAACTGCACATTGCATTTTTGTAGATAAAAAGCACAGACTGTTTTAATGTATATGTATTTCTGTTCGATATTTTAGCAAACTGTTGCAAAGCTCAAACTAGAGCAAAGTCAAAACTACTTTCAGCATGGTACAGTTAGACCAGATGGCCACGTGTTCTTTTCTTATTTAGATGAGACTTTTCCTTTCAATAACATCTTTCTTCCTGACCTGCTTAAAAATTCCAGCGAATGAAATCAGCACAGGATTTTCAATTCTAATTGACCATGTGCAGAGGAAAGGCCAGTAGAGAAATCAGTAGGACCATTGTAAGGCACACTGCATCAATCTCTCCTTTGTCCTGAATCTTTTCTAGTATGAGCTAAAATAATTAAGTATATTTCGTTTGTATTATTTGTACAGCAACAAATCTATTAACATTCAAGCAAAATTCATAATGTGTTCCTCTTTTAGAAATGCATGTAACAAGGAAGATGTATGTCTGATACCAGACAAGCAAGTACTAGACATCATTTAATGGCCAAATATTAAAACAAAACAAAACCCTATAAAACTGGAAACAGACCTCCCAAAACAAACTCAAGGAAAGAATGACCAAAAAGACTGAAAGGTGTGGGTGAATTAAAGCATGAACTGCTTTACCTTTCCTAATGAAGGAAGATTTAAAGGATATGGTACTTTAAGAATTTTTTGAAAAGCACATTTTAGAAGAGTCTGAAAAATGTATTTTTCCACTGTCCAAAATATTGACCCTTAAAACATCTGTAATCTTCAAATACTTCAAATTTACCTACATAGATTTTATGCAAACACGTCCCACCCACACTGCATTGGTTGTGATCAGCCTCAATTGAGCCTGTGTGATCTACATGTGAGGTACA